TTTGGAATTAGTGAAGCACTAAGTAGCACTATATGGAACTCATTTTCATTTTATACAAACAAAACCCTAAACCATCGAGAGAGAGAGAAGGAAAAAAAAGAAGAAAATGGAAAGAAAAATAAGGGAAAACCTAGCGTCGCCGTCTTTCTCCACCCTCTAATCAACGACGCTAGATTTATAAAGAGCAAAAGTGGAAAAGAAGAAAAGGAAAAGAAGAAAAAGAAGGAAGAAGAAACAAAAACGACGAAGTGTCCGATTGAAGCTCGGAGGATCCGACACATATCCCATACCCATGTCGTGTCGGAGTACTCCAACTATTTGGAAGAGTCCGAACATCAAAGCCCTTCTCTATGAAAATTCTACGCATCAGAATAAAAGAAAGAAGAATAGTGAATGTGACACACTGACTTAGAATAGAAAACAACGGAAATTTGTAATGTGTTGCTAGTAAAAAAGGGGAAGAATGCTTAAAAGATACCATGCAATTATTTTTAAGGTGATATACAGGTAAGAATAAATGAGATACCTGATTCTTCTGCATTTCAATTATTTCTGCCTGCAGAAAAGAAGTCCAGAAACAGGTGTCACAATTCAAAATTAAATGTTTCAAGGGGATAATGAAATGGAGATGGAGAAAAGTATATTGTCAATTACCTGTTTGTTCTGCATACCTTGATTTTCCTCCTTCAGTTTGGCAATTTCTGCTTCCAACTCCATTGTGTATGCCTGAAAAGCCACAAAAATTAATAAAATAAAATAACAATGAAAGTTGATGCATGATCTAAACAGAAACATACTTGGACACAACAAAACTACAGATTATTAGGGATGGAGATTATTGTATTTGTGTAATTATTCAAGGTGTAATACAAATTTCTGTGATTGTTAATTTAAGCATAGACTACTGATTGCGTTACCTTGTAGCAAATGAGACCTTTAAACTTCTCATGAAGTGCCACTTGTCATAATGTTTCATCTTTGGTCACATTACACCCTATCACATTACATTCTGCTGCATAAGATATCTAGTCTTCAGTAATGTTTGGGGAAGATGATAAAAGCAGGATGCTAATGACCATAGTGCAAAAAGTGACTAGAAGATGAAGCCTATCATTGTTCTGCTTATCCATCTATTATTTTAAAGTACAGGGTCTGCAGTAATACTTGTCCTCTATTATCTTTCAATATATATATCCCCCAACAAATTCTATATTTTTTCTTTCCTAAAAGACTAGAGGTCATATGAGGGCTAATTACTAGTTTTCTTTTCGTACTCGATGACGTGAGCTATATAAAGATGAGACATCTTTCACTTTTAATGTCGAAGTTTTATTCAAATGACAGTTTCCTTGTATATGAGCAGCCAAATAAAGTGGCGCTAATACGAATAACTACAACGTGGATGTAGAACAGACAAATTTGAAATCAGTATATCTGGAAATATCCACAAAATAATCAGAACTTCCAACTTTTTACTCTTCTCTTCGTCTCCTGAGACTATTGATTGATGTATCAAAATTCCAAATGGTTCCATGCAAAAATAGGCACTAATTAATGATGGAAAATTAAATATGGCCACCATGTCAGTATTTGATAGTCTGCTTATACTCAAAATAAAACTTGGGCAGGAGGGACCAGGTTATGCAGTCAAATTCACGTTGAATAGTTACCTATGTAGGTGTATGGATCATCTCAACTTCATAAATGCAACAAAGGTATAAAAAAGTAAACCAAATCTACCAATCTTCTAGTGTTAAAATCACATTCTACAAAACCAATCAAGATACATTCTTCCAAAGAAATTTGAACTTCCAAAGGTTTCCCGCATATATTAGGGTGTGAAGAAGTGTCTTTATATAGTGCTCATAATAAACTAATTCAATTGGAGAAGTAAAATTTCACTTAGCTGTGAAAGAATAAGGCATCTCAACCAATGTGATGATAATTAAAAAGGGGCAATATAATAAGTAATAAAAAAAAACCACTAACACAAACTACATATAAATAGGTAAGGCAGTCGTTTCTGGTTGATAGGACATTATGCCTCATGCAGCATTTTTCTAGTTTCTTGAAAAGAATGACAAGAAGTCTACTAAATGGAACTAAAAGCATAAGGAAATTTTAATCGTTATTGGTAAAAATGACATTACAAAGAAAGGGAGTGCACGATTGGAGAGTATTAGGGGTTGTTCTCTTTGTATTTGAATTTTGTGTTTTGAGTTTTAAATTCATTTTGAGTTTTGTGTTTTGAGTGTTCATTTTGAGATTGTTGAAAATGTATTCTTTTTGGCATTTTGAAAAATTGTTTTGAAAACACCCTAAACACATTTTGAAAATTTTGGTTTGATTATAACTGAAAACATCCAAAACGACAAATTTGTCGTTTTGTGTTTTCTTTGTAAATTTTTAATTGTTTTCAAAAATGCGTTTTTGAAAATAAGAAAGAAAACGCGTTTTCACTATTTTGAAAAATCGAAAACAGAAAACGACTTGAAAATAATAAAAAAGAACATACCCTTACTTTCTAGAAAACAACATTTATGTGGGAGTGTTTCCTAAATCTTCTATATAAGAGCATCCTATATTGATATTGAGAGCCTCACAAGAATATTATATTATCAGACAAAAATGACATCATAGCCGTCTATCTGAACACTATGGGCAGAGATTTATAACAGGGAAATTAATTTAAAAAACAACTTTTTAACTTCCTTGTTAGGGATGTATGAGCAAAGCAAAGCAAAGGTTCAAGCCACACCTCTATCTATTTATGAAAATTGTGCATGTCAGACCTTCGATGGCAAATGAACATGGCCTGCACGTACAGGGCATGTTGACGATAAATTTTATATTAATAATTGTGCCTCCTCTCTAACAACTTTTTAACTTTTTAGGTGAGGTGGTAAAACTAGACGTAATCCACAAGTGATCATTTTGAAACCAAGCATCCAGAACCCAAAAAAAATAGCACACGTTTATCTCAAAACTATCAAAGCTAATATACTTGAATTCTATAAAAGCATCATATTTATAAACATCATGTTCATACCAAAACCATCAATCTAATATTTTTACTCCGTATATTAAGATATTTACCTGCTTCCGAGCTCGTGATCTTGCAGCTGATTCTCTGTTTTTTATCATTCTTTTCTGCCTCCTTTCCACAACTTTTTCCAAAGCAGCACCTTTTCTGCTCCGTAAGCTGCCACTAAACACATAAGGGACTGGTGATATGGAAGATGTATCTCCATTACTCTTTGCAAGCCCATCTTTTGAAAAAGCCGGAGATCTTGTAGCAACAGAAAAACCCCCAGTTCCTAAACCAACCACCCCAAGTCCTCCACCCTGTAGGCCTGCACTTGGAACCAAATTATTAGTCATCACTGGATCAGAAATCCCAAGAATCCCGCCCCTAGTTGCTGGACTGCTCAACTGTCCACTACTTGGAATACCCATGGGAGCTCCATAAGACAAGGCAGGCTGCTTTGGAAGAAGCTCGTGCTGCTGCTTCTGCTGCACCAGCCTTTGGTGTCTATCCAGCTGTTGTCCAGCAGGTTTGACCCCATTCACATTCAGTGGTAAATTTGCAGACTGCATATCAATCTGATTCCTATTGAAGGCAGGCTGATTGGGAAGGAGCTCTTGCTGCGCCAACTGTTGTTGACTCTTCATCTGTTGTTCAGCAGATCTGAACCCATTCACCTGCAATGGTAAATTAGAAGACTGCATAGCAATCTGATTACTACTTTCAAGAACCCTAGAAGTCATCAGCCCTGCATCCCTGTTAGCCTGTTGATATAGAAATCCCAATCCAGTATCGTTCCCACTGCCGGGCAAATCATCTAAAACTCCAATACTGGTAGGTTTTCCAGCAAACTGGGCATCTTCCCTTACTACACCCGCTTTCAGCAAGAATTCTTCAAGTGTTATCTCCCCTAAAGTCTGTTGCCTCTGAGGCATATTCAAGTTACTAACACCACCATTCTCATTCTTCCCGCCACTATACTCATTCCACCTCTCTCTCCAGACCTCATCAACTGTCTTCTGGCTCAGTGTCCGTGGAAGCGTCAATGATCCCTGCCGCTGCAAATGGCCAACCCCTCCTTGGCCACCAGCTCCACTAGTAAATCCCATGTTTTGATTCTCCTCGGCACTCCATATGTTCTTCAGCAACTCATCCATGTTCATTGACCCAAAATCCTTTCCAATTCCCCCCATGGAGCTTTGGAGCTCATCAAAAGTCAATGAATAGATTGATGACTGCCGTGTCAAAGGAAAACTAGCCGGTGGCCTTCCACCACCGCCTCCATCGGCTGGTGGATCATTTCCAAAATTCTTGAAGTTAAAATTACTCCACATTGCAATCTACTGGCGGCTTACAACTGTTCAAAGCCAATTGTTTTCTGATATCACCAAAAACAAGCCAGATCAATCTAATTATCTAACACTCAACCTCTATTTCTCTCTATCTTTCTCTGTGCATACACCCCCACACCTATAGATGCATGTGATTATGTAAATGTGCATATGTATCTGCGACTTGGTAATGTAATGAAAGTAAAAGGATATTAACACCCAACCATTTCAAGATTAAATTCCACTAATACATTTCATGTCAAAGCACGAAGTAATCAGCAGATTCTGCAAGATATCTAAAACAAGTTACACCCACACACAAATTCATACCCTGAATTTACATGCAAAACCCAGTAAATACAAACTCCTGATTTTCAAGAAACCCACAAAAACTCAATAATGAAGAAATTGAACACTGGAATCAAAATTAAAAAGCAAATGTAAATGAGCCCACATGAAAGTATCTTCAAAAGTGATCAAGAGATCAGCGTGATTCCACCAAGTCCCAAAAAAAGGGGGAAAAAAAATATCTATGCACCAAGTAAAAGCTAATAAATGACTAATGGTGCAAAATAAGAAATGGGACAGAAGTCTTAATTAGCAGATATTTACCAGAAAATTATGAGATTAGCATAAATTTCGAGTAGAAAAAAATACCCGATATATTTTTTGGTTTTCGGCTGGTAGAAGTTTATCTGGGCTGTTGCCAAGTGTCCTACTACGGCTTCAAGCGGGCGGGGGTATAAATATATAATAAAGAGTTGTGGGACCTAATGGATAAGCATTAAGCAGGAGTGTTAGGTGTGATAGGTGTCCAATAAGATCACGCGAGGTGGGGAGAATCTAGACCGTCCACGTATGGAAATACTAACCGTCGGTTTTTGAAGGAGACTTTGGTTTTGTCGTTTAGTTGCGACGGAGAGTACGGCAGTTGGACGTCCGTTTGTGTTTTGGCCAATTAGGATTTGGTCTTTCACTTGGCTGTACAGTATATTTGACGTCGTTATGACATCATTGTTGTGAATTTTCAAACATGCCGACATTACTGTTGAAAGATATTTATATAAGGATAATTGCAACATAACGTCCTCATCTTTCAATGTTATTGTGGAAAACGTCCATACCTTTCATTTTTTGGTATTTACACCTTTATTTTCACTTTTCATTACACAAAGGGTCATTTTCACATACTTCCTCAATTAAAAATTATGAAATGTCTAATATACCCCTCTTTAAATAAAAGAAAAAGAAAAAAACTAATTGCAATCACAGTCCCAATTTTTTTAAAAGTGCAAATAAGTCACAAATAAATTATTAAAATAGTAATTATCACATAATGTCCCTATCTTTCACTGTTATTGTGAAAAATGTCTATACATTTCTTTCTTTTTTGACATTTTTACCCTTAATTACACATTTGATTGTACAAACCATCATTTCCATCCAATTTTTCAATAAATAACTGTAAAATATAGAATATACCCCCCCTATTTAAATAAGTTTTTTTAAATTTCTAATTCTTCAATAATTTATTTGGGACTTGTTTGCATTTTTTTTTTAAATTTTTACATAAATTAAATTGAGACTCTTTTACACTTTTTTTAAAAAAATTAATATTTTTAATAATTTATTGGCGATTTGTTTGCACTTTTTTTAAAAATTGGGATTATGATTGGAATTAATTATTTAAATGTTTATTTAAATATGAGGATATATTCGTCATTTTACATGTTTTTATTGAGAAATTGGATAGAAATGATGGTTTGGGCAATCAAATGTTTACTTAAGGGTGAAAATACTAAAAAAAAAAAAAAATTGAAAGGTATCGACGTTTTTTGAAATAACGGTGAAAGATATGGACATTATGTACTAATTACCATTTTAATAATTTATTTATACTTATTTGCGCTTTTTTAAAAAAATTGGGACTGTGGTTGCAATTGATTTTTTTCTTTTTGTTTTATTTAAAGAGATGTGTATATTCGTCATTTAATAATTTTTTATTGGGAAAATATGTGAAAATGAACTTTTGCGCAATGAAATATGGAAATAAGTGTGAAAATGTCAAAAAATGAAAGATATGGACGTTTTTCACAATAACAATAAAATGTGAGGATGTTATGTGCTAATTACCCTTATATAAAATTATATCCTTTTGTTTATATAAATATATAAATAATAGAGGGGGAAATAAAATCCCTTCATGGTTGCGTAACTATTGTGTTATTTATTTGAAAGAATAATATTATTTATCATTATAGTGATGAGACATCGATGGTATGCCAATCTACGTGAAATAATGAAATTAGGCAGTTAAATTTTTATGAAAAACAAGGGGGAGGAAAGATAAAGAAATATGAGAAAATTGGGTTGCCACGTAACCGATATTTCATCATCATGATAACAAATAGCGTTACTCTTTATGAAATAATAAAAAGTTGTAATATTTATTCAATGTAAAATAATAAGGGTAGAGGAGAAGATTCTTCTTGTGAAACTTGTACAACCAAAAGCAATTTGAAAATAGAAGTAGTAATCCTATTCCTGAGCCGAAGCCTACTCCTGAAAAGTTTCAACATATGCAAAGTAATTAAAGACGAACATCACATCTAATTTGGACTCTAATCACATATAGTTTTTCTCGAGTAGGAACATTGATTTTTTTTTTTTTTTTTTTTTCTTTTTTGACAGAACATGCCATTAGGGACAAGTTGTGTTAATTTGAGAATAAGAATGTATTAAAAAAGTTGTGTTTATTTAGTCTTCTATACATTTTGACATGTGAAATCCAACATGAGATAGCCTATATGGTAATATGGACATGGCTATATCATGACTTTTGGAAAAGTATACATTGTTTAGACGAATAGGTATCATAGACAGGACATTTAGGCAAATGGCAATTCAATTCTTTGAATTGATCAATATATAAATGGTCATAACAACGATTAGTCCGATTTAATCTTGAGTTCGATAGTAAACTTATACATCATTATTATCGTTATTATTTTAGGATTCATACAAAATAGAAGATACAAGGATTAATCCTCTTGTATCGAGGAGGGACTACTGAATGGTGTCTCTCCTCTCACATGAGGCGCGGCCCTCACATATATTAAATAATGTCGACCCGTGGCCCCCCACCTCCTATTGTGAGTGGGTGTAAAAGATTTGGTAAAAAAATTCGATACATGTAGCATTGTCCAAGATATAATATATAGAATTAGTCAACCTACAAAGTCGAATTCGTCCTCTAATTTTTAATACTTTGTTTCCTTCTCTTCATAGAAGTCAAAAAAAAATGAAAAATAAAAATTATTTTCTCTCCAAGACCAACAAAGGCTAAAATTGGGTAGTTTCACATCATGATCCCAATTCAAGATTTGTCGATTGAGGAAAATCTGATTGTGCCTGTGGACATTTGACAACATAACAAAAGACAAACCATTTCTATCCCTTTCTAAAATTTAGTTTGGTTCTTCGTTGTAGTGCACTAGGACTTGTGCCAAGTGGCTAGATACAAGAGATGTATAAACAACTTTTGATTTTGACAAATGCTAGTGTCGTTCACATTAATAGAACTAATTATTTGATAATAACGTGACTTTTAGTCTCATTTTATCTTTCTTTGCACTTACTTGATATGCATTATTGTCATTTGAAAAGTTAGGCAGATAAGGTAAAAATAATATAAGGATTTGAGCTACTTCTTAACAATGTCGATCTTCGAAGATACAATTCTAAAGTTCATTGACTTTAAACAAACAAGTCGGTCGACGAACATTTGAACTTTAATATTTCGATTCATCCGAAGCTCAAACAAACATTTAAATTCCAATCTTGTGTGACGTGTTAAGAATTAAACACATATCAAATAAAGATGAAATCTTTAACCAAAATATAAGAATTTAGGCTTATTAAAGAGAAAATCCCATGTTGTTAAAAGACAAAAATATCAATCAACATATAAGAACTAGATTGTTCCTCCTAGTAAATAGACCAATAAACTTATTCCTATATCAATGGCTTATTAGCACAAAACATCCATACGCAAAGCATTTAGTGTGCAAAACATCATTACATTTCAAAATTTTGCATTTTCACCCATATTTCCATGTTTCATTGTAGAAGTCATTTTTTCAGTTAAAAGTTGTGAAATAACGAAAATGCCCTATAAAAAAAAAGAAAAAAAAGAACAAATTAGAATCAGTCTCAAAATTTCAAAAAATTACAAATGAATCTCCAATATATAATTAAAAATCCAACATACGCCAAAAACTTAGGCTAACCATTACCTTTGAACCTTAAAAACTCTGACCAACCACCGGAACTCCATATTATTGGACAGTCCTCACTTCCCTCTACACACACCACCTAGCCACGAGTCTTAACGTTACCAAATTTGACTGGAATCGATGGCCAAAATCAGAAATTTGTCAACACAAAAATCTACTATACCACCTTCTCCGGTGAGACCCATGCCCTTTCTTTCATACCAGTCGACTATACTTATCAGGGCGCACCTATTCATGGTCTTGCAACATCAACAAATTCACACGATCAAAATTTACAGCCCAATTTTTCGAATCAAGCAAAATCGCAACTTTCAGTCGCGATTTTCGGCATCAGTGACAGGACCCATAATCACATACCACCCATTGTGGGATTTTCTGATCATAACGCAGCAATTCCACCTATTGATCTTCAACAATTCAATCTCCATATGACAGATCGAACATGGATAGTAAGTGCGTGCGAGGAAGATTTTGGCCATCGATTCCGGCCAAATCTAATGAAGATAGTGTTGGTGGCTGGGTGGTATGTGTAGGAGGAGTGAGAGCTGTCCAATGATATGGAGTTCCGGTGGTTTGAGTGGTCGTTGGCCAGAGTTTGTAAGGTTCAAAGGTGGTGGTTGGCTTGAGTTTTTGGCGTATGTTGGATTTTTACTTATACATTGGGGACTCATTTGTAATCTTTTGAAATTTTGGGAATATGATTTTAATTTGTTCTTTATTTTATTTTATTTTTTTTGTTTATTTAAATAGGAAGACATTTTATCATTTCACAACTTTTAATTGAAAAAATAGATGAAAATGATTATTTCAGCAAAGAAACTTGAAAATGAGGGTGAAAATGAAAAAATTTTAAAATCTAAAGATATTTTGCACACTAAAAATTAAACGTGAGAATATTTTGCCGTGTCTCAATCAAACCTTTGACTCTATACCCTAATGTTTGTCGGTAAAACATAGTAACTATCTCTTTTTCCCACTTTCTAAGTCGGTCACTCCACGCTAGACAGTTGTTACCCACACACTTTACCTTTATCTCCCACAAACATTATTTATTTATTTATTTATTATTTTTGTGGTGTTTGTAATTTCATAATAGGCATATCTGGTTAACCAACAACCAAGTGTAAGAACGTGCATGATCCTACTTGACTTATTTATCATTGTCCATAAATGATTAAACAATTATAAATATTGTTCAATAGTAAGCTTCTAGAGGACACGTATCAATGTTCATAAATTTCCAGAATGTCTTTTTGCAGGAAAAACATAATTATTCAGAAGCTGTTCTACGAGGACACGTCACAACTCTAAAACTAGCGTTCAACCATGCTATAAGTACAAAAAAATTTGAGAGACAATATGCGATGAAAATTAATTGAAAGATATAAAGAGAAAAGAAAAACAATCCAATCATATGCGATCACATCAACAACGGTAGAAATTTCGTCAAGAAGGTTCTGTACTCGAGACTTTTTCCAATGTGTTCATTGTCAATGTCACTATTAGGTCAGATTGACTACTCTGACCAAATCCTATTTTAGATAAACTATGAAAGCCTATCCTGCATCCGTAGTCTTGTATAAAATTCAACCTAACAGGAATGTTTGTTTTTCCCCAATACAACTGCTTATACTTCTTTGTCAGCTGATTTTAGAACAGAATTAAGCTACTTGTACATTAATTTTGTTACTTGTACCACTAGGATGACTAATGTCCATGTAGGAGAATCGTTAAGAATGAGTACCTTAGGGCCATCTTCAATTTTTCAAGTATGGTTCAATTTACATAAACTTGTGAATAACACTGAATCAGGGGAACTCGCTCATGACTGGGCCGAAATGATCCAGGAGTGCCTTATCAACATCCTCACGTGCCTCTCTTTGAAGGACCGATGGCTAGGAGCCATGCGTGTGTGCAAGGCAAGGCTGCAGGCATGCAAAGTTCCGCACCTCCACTCAGTGTTTGACCTCGAGACTAAATTCGACTCGGCCACTGAGTTTTCCCTATTTTGGACCCCCAAGTTCGAGAGCAAGATTGATAACATGATAATATCAGTCGTCAGCTGGAGCGGTGAGTCTCTTACTAAAAGGTTGTGAATGATCAATAGAGGATTCGTCACTCTTAAATAATAAGAGATTATGATCTACATTTTATCTAGCTAAGTTGATAATGAAATCCTTGGTCAATGTGAACTCATAAGTTGTTGAAAATAAAATTAAACAATTTATAAATTATTTATAAATTTTGCCAAACAAATGCTGCAAGATTTTCATTTGGGTTAAATTGCCTTATATATATTAATGTCAAGAGTACTGATTACACGTTCAGCGTGTAATGTAAATAGAAAGTTGAGCAGCAAGGCAATGCTCATTCAAAGGACATTTCTTAATCATCAATGAATTGTTATATGGATTCTTGTTTTCCAGGTTCTACACCAGTATGTTTTGGAAGTCACTTGTCAGTTGCCAAAAAAGGATAAAGATCTGGGGCTGTACTTCCGTTTTAGGGGTTCTGGGTCTGTCAGGTTGGGGCATGACAAACCTCACACCAATCCAGTAATGGTGTTCTTTTGAGTTCAGTTGCCTCGAGTAATGGAATCAGACCCCCAAGGCACCAAAAGAAAACATCTCATCTATCCTAGTGTCACACATATATTGGTCACATGATACTATCCGAAAGAATAGATAACGAAGAAAGTTCTCTTTCATCCAAAAATTTTAAAATGAGACTAATCCACAGAAAAGAAATGAGAAGACCCAGGCAATTTAGTTGATGTTTGAGATTTCAACCATGGAAATTGAATTATCACCAGCAAAACGACGTTCGCGTTCCCTGTATTGTTTTCTACCCACAAACAAATGAAAATATTGAGGCAAAAACGAAAAAGCACCCTTGAGTTAGAAGGGAAAGCTTTATATCAAAGCACACAGTTCCAATAACTGAATGCTAATGCTAGAAGAAGAAGCAACTATATCTAACTTTATAATCAGTTAGAAAACCAACTTAAATATTCTTAAGAGAAGATTATACCAATTTCCAAACAAATAAAGTGCAAGAATTCTCAACATCACCTCTAACTAATACAATGAACTTCGGCACAAATGAGTGATACACTAAGCATTTTCAAGGAATATCACTGTAGGCGAGCACGAATTCAAATGTTCCTTCAATCATGGTGTCTACGCCTCCGAAAATGCCTAAGTATGAAGCTGTCTGCATACAGAGGATAATTTTTTCGGATCAAACCCTTTATGCATTTCCAATATGAGAAGTCAACCAATTCTCCATCCTTCCGAACTATGAATAAACATCGTGAACTTTCAAAATTAGGATGGTAGCCAATCTGTCAAGTAGAAACAACGAACAGCAATCAGGAAAATATTCAATGAAAGCTTTAATGGATGCCTAAAATATATTTCTATGTCTAATATGATATGCAAAATTCACCAACCAAAGAGGGTCTTCCGGAAAAGAGAATCATTTAGGTGAGTTGTAAACAGAAAATAGTTGGAAAGGAATGTGATGGAGATAGAGTTACAAGTTAATTAGGATTTTAAAATAGAGTTTTATTCAAAATATATTTATTTAAATTTGATTAGATTAGTTCAAGTATTTTGATAATGTTTTAGTTTGCTAGAAGTTCATTTGATTTTAGATTCTTTCAATTTCTTTGCTCAGCTATATTTGTCGTAATATATAACTCAATGATTATACGAATAAAAGTATTTCTTCTTTACCCTCAATTCTTCTCTTTTTGGACCCTCTCTTTCTTGTTCTTCATTTGTTTGTTGTCAAAATAATACGCTCCTGCATCAGAATGCCAAAGGAAACTTCCAACTTTGATTATCCCTTTCTAAAGCATTTGGTTGTCACAAGAAAACCATAACATCCCACAACTAAAGGAAATTTTAGTGCAATATATTGCGGTTGATTAATTCAATGCAGGTAGTTACATTTCTGTTTTACTTTTCCTAAGGTTTAATTTATCTGTTTTCCCACATAGTGCCGTCCACAACCAAATAGAGCCTTATGTCATCCTAATAAACAAATAAAAAAAAAGATTTATTTGGTAGTTTTTCTTATCGGCAAATATATACCATATACTTCTTTAACAATCCATTCGATTCATCGCTACATCTAGGAAGATGTAGTGCGATCAAATCATTTGCAACGATGTCATGCCATGTTAATTTTGGTCTACCTCCTTCTAATAACATGTACTATAGGGATCACATCACTTTTGTGAATGTGAGCTTCTATAAGTTTAAGCATATAATACAATCGACTACCCAATTTGTCCTTTCTTTTAATTTATCCACAATTGGTGACACCTTTACTTGTCAGCATATATTCTCATTCCCTCTGTAAAACGGACACTTCAACTATGGTAACTTATCCGTATCGGACATGTGTCGATACTGATACTTCTCGAACAATCTACCATAAATATTTTTCATTTTTTATTAAAAATATATATTTTTAACTTAAAATTGTTAGTAAATAATAAATAAGTACTCATATTTAGATTTGAAGAAAAAAATTATAAATAAGTATAAAACTAAATTTATATTATATAAATGAAGAATTTTAAAAAATTTAATCAATGTGTCATGTCAGTACTTTTTTGAAAAATCGAGTGTCTACATATTCGACACGTATCGCATCGGATACAAGTGTTCGGTGCATCATAGCTCATTCCTAGTAGTCTCCAATTTCTATGATAGCCACACATGCATCTTAAGATCCTCACTTATGCTAAATCCATCTTTTTCGTTTGATAAGCATTACCAAAAAGCGTAGTGGGGAAAATTATAATTGTATAATACTTGCCTTTTAACCTTAGAAATGTCTTCCTATTTTATAGAATCTCTATATCTTCCCATTTTTAGAATCCCAAAAAAAAAATCTCCATTTTATCTAACCAGGTTTTAAGCTTATGAAATCATTCTCAAGCACCCCTGTTTAGAATCAAGCTAAATGCCCAAAACACTCACTTCTAGGGAAAAAGTGATCCTCTAAAACAACTCCACCTTATTCCTACTACGATTTAGAGGACATCCTACATATTCTATCTTAAGACTCCAAGGTGCATCCAAAGTTCTAATTTATAATATATCTTGTTCCTAGCACCGTCAAATGAGTAACATATATCAAGGAACTCATCTTCGATATGTCTCATAAGCTCATCCATGCTAAATTTAAAAGATGAGGACTTAAGATAGAACTTCAATGCAAGCCTATAGTGATAGGACATTCTATATTACTACTGTGTCAATACATGTTACACCTCATCTACTTATGGTCAAAGTCAAAGTCAAATAAGTATTAAATTGAAAAAAAAAATTATGGGGACTAATTGGTAATTAATAATACTTGAAGGGCTAGAAATAATATATAAAGAAATCTAGGATGGTAGTTTATATTATTAGAAAGGGCAGAACTAAATAATATATGGTAAGGAAATGGGGATTAACTTTGCAATTTCCTCATAATTATTCAATAAACATTTGACTTTTCTATCATTTTCTCATTCCTTTGGAGAGAAGAAAGCAGAGAACGTGCCAGAGATAAGAAAAGAGAGAAAAAGAGAAAGGAAAGGGAAAAAAAAAAGGAAAAGGGAAGAAGAAAAGGAAAAAGGGAAGAAATAAGGTTACTATCTTCAATTTCTTCGTCAATTATTAACGGAAAGCATAAATTTTACTTATTTTTGAATGATATTAGATTTTAGGGTTTATATAAATTTTCCCTAAATTCAAAATTTGATAAGGAATTAGAATTTTAAAATGGGTTTGTCATTTTTTTTGATTTTCTCTTGAGTATATGAGGCTAGATACTTAAATTAAGGATTTGAAGTTAGAATTTTCCATGCTTTAGCAAATTTTGGACAAAATCATATACATATGCTATTTCCGAAATTATTTCCAGAAAGTGCTAATTCTGTCAATGGTTTGTGGTAATTTTCAGTATATAGAAACTGGTGACAGATTTCTATATTATGGAATTTTGGTGCTATTTTTGTCAAAACTTGATTTTTCTTAAATTTTACAAGTTGAATGAGACTAAATGATAAATATAGAAGTTTAGGTATTGAATTAAATTGTATATGAGGGTTGTATAAGTATAAAGTGAGTGAGTAATGAATTTGACATGGGGTGATTAGTTGGTAAATTATTAAAGAAAAGTGAAATGGTTATCCTATTTTGTTATTATTAAAGTCGTGAATTGAGTTTTGACCCGAATAAATTTATTATCACATCAGGAGGTAGCGAATAGATTGAGACAGCTCATCAGCCGAACTTATCGTCCCGTAAATAGTTTGTGAGTGGGAAAAACTTACATTTTTTTCAAGTATTGATAATTAATTCTATTAATATACATTTTATGCAATTATGTGAATTATTTGTCCAATTATATGATTAATGTGGAAATATTCCTTCATTGTGATCGGTGTGGAATTGTAAAGACTGTGTATGGATTACTTGTGAATTGAAATGTGAGACATGTGATATTGAGATTGACCAGAAAAGTACCCATGATTATATACTTATTCTAGTTCACGGAGTGACCTTGGCCGTGTTCTATACTACACGAGGGGTTTTGAATGAGGATGAAGGGGTCTGACTGTGTACATGTAGTTCACTGAGTGGCCTTGGTCGTGTTCTAATATTGATTATGAGAGGTTTTTGAGACCCACTTTCAGTCACGGAGAGGCCTACGGGCCGTGGCGAAAGTAGTTAGCCCAAGGGGCGGATTATTGAATTCAATCAAAGGGTACATTTTTGGTTGAGTACATGTGATGTGATAAGATGATGATATGGATTTGCATTGATGATTATATCATGACTAGTAGATGATATTGGTCAGTGTTATGAAATGTCTCACTTTTTGATTATTATTATTATTATGGTTCTATGCTATTATACTATGGATTTGGTGATGATAAAAAGGTGTAAATGGAAAGTAAAATTATTTTTGAACTTCTCCACTCACTGAACTATCGACTCATATATTTTTCCACTATATCCTTATCAGGTAGCAGTTGAGTTTTGGGCATCTTGTGGAGTTGAACCTTGATTTTGGACCGCCGACGAATTGAGCTAGTATGACTCATTTTCTAGGACATGTAGTCAGTGTTTTGAGACACATGTTCATTTTTATATGTCATGTCACGTCATTTGTAAATAGTTAGATGGGCTCGTTATGTATTTGTATCCACATATAGAGTTGATGTCATTTTCATAGTAAAAGTATTGAGAGTTCGGTTTATCTTTATACTGTGTTATGTAATCATGAGTTGGTATTGACATGGTACTATTGTTGGGAGTGGTATACAATTATTTACAGGTTGGTTAGTCCAAAATACAGGGGAGATGATGCCGAAATTTTCATTAAAATATTTTATAAATTTCACATTGTAGTAGCCTTTGTAACGACCCGGGTCCCACTTAACGGGCTGTCCTGGCCGTTAGATCGACGACGTACTGTCCTCACTGTACCAACATGGGTCTTTTCAGCATGCTTTGTCCTCACTCGCACGCTCCCCGAGAAAACTTCCCAGGGGGGTCACCCATCATAGAATTGCTCCAAGCCAAGCACGCTTAACCGTGGAGTTTCCAACGATGGATTTTCGGAAAAGAAGGTGCACCTTGTAATATGAGTAGTACCTATCAAATCTCTTAAACTTTCTTGGTTTGGGGTATTACAGCCTTGATGGTAGGTCCAACTTTTAATTGGTATCTATCATCGGCACACGTCACACTCCGGGTCCACTAGCTTTATCAGGGATAGGGTGTGTCAATACATCTCATGCTCATAACTACAAACCCACACATCCTAAATAATATTGATTTAAGAAATAGAAGTTTCCTTCTTTCTAGAACGCAACACAACACTTTCTCAGGCACCCTATCATAGTGTTTTTCTAAATCAATGAAAATCATATGTAAATTTTGTTTCTTTTGACTATACTTCATATCAATCTCCAAAGTAGGCAACAACTTTCATCCCTGTTATTCAATCTAAACTCAAAATTGACCAATTAAAACCAACCACAGCACATCTCAATTAAAAATCATACCGTCCTTTGTCCCACCAAAACACCAAAATCCAGAACAACTTCAAATCAATCCCCTCCACATTACTTAGATATAGCAACTTACCCAGAATTGAAAATGTTATTGACATGTTCAACTCTAGATAACATGCGGTTCTATATACAATTGCTCATTATAGCTGCACAAAAATAATCTAAGACAGGTATTATCGATTCCAAAATTGCAATTAGGTAAAAACAAAATGATTCTTTCAAAGAGCGCTTGAACTGCTTGAAGTATACAAACAGGCTGGTTCTCTTGAAAATTGCTTAGACAAAAATGCTATCTGATTACATAGATCAAAACTGTGTATAGCAAAGACATAAAACTGAGAGTATTGAAATTGTTTCTCAAATTCTAGAATATTAACACACATTATACTTTAATGATAGATTCTACGATAATTTTTAAGAACCAATCATATTAGTTTCACTCCACTGGGAAGATGGTATTTCCCGGCAACCATGGCCCACACAGTGAAATCTGGGAAAAGTGTTTAAATTCACAAATCCATTTGGCTATATGCCCAAGGGCCAAGGGCATGGTTCGACATGTTTGAACCTATACCAGTTGAAAATGATTACTACAAAAGTTAGAATGAATTCTACAGAACACAAACCAATCACTTCTCTTCAGGCATCACTTCAAGCAAGTTAATAATATTGCAATTGGACATTTTAAATTTCTGTGTGATGTGTGCATGGGTAGTTGAATTTCTGGATGCTCACTTTTCTTTTCAAGATGCTCTACCGGTTACATTACAAACTACTTTTTATTTTTATTTCCTAGAAGGAACTTCAGATGTCCACCTGAACCCTCCTTCCTTGCTATAATAATATAAACTCAGAAAAAGCTAATAAATCATGCAACTAAGCCCATTCAAAGAATGTAATTATGTAGTGGTGTATTATAAAAAAGTAAACCAGGCAGACCGTAATATAATCAACTCCACATCCAATCTTCTTTTCAGACTCTGGATGATAAGGAAGCAATCTTTCTAGAATTGTTCTCTCGTGTTCAGGACTTAACTTATCACCACTTTCATATCTGGAAGATAGAGAAAGAAAGATAGAGTCAACAAAATGCGATTGACCAAAATTTGTCTACCATATTTATGCACTATGACCAGTAGGGGTAGGGAAGATTAACAATCTCATAAGTGTATATCAAATGAATAAGTAAGATAAGCTACAGGTTGCAGTGTACTCATACAAGTTACAATCACATATCAAGCTCATGAACTGGAAATAGCTACAACTAATGTGGTTAAAGTTATAATTCAGATTTTATGATCCCATAATCAAAGAACAGTAAACTAATCTCAGGCCCGACCAAAAGCCATACCTCTCGTGCTTACAAATCAAATTCCCTGTCCTTTTAACACTTGACATAATGAACCCATTTATTTTGAAAAGCACCCAAGGCATACGACTCAAGGCATGATTCAAGTGAGGCTGTCGTTAAGCATCTTGAAGCATATACCCTTGAGTAACATTTGTCAAAATTTACAACTTGGCGTATTAGGTGCATGGCTTAAGGCATAAGCTTCTAGAAGGCTGAGGTGCGTGCTCATTTGTCTAGCTTTTTCTGGTCTTTGTATCATCGGCCTTCATGGACTCAAACTTTTTGGACTTACCATTTATAGCTGGAATGTTTTAAGGTATTTTTGGGGTACTTACTAGGAAAAAAAAACGATTCTGAGGAGAGAAAAGAGAAAGTACGCCTAATCCTTCTAACCTGAAATGCGAGAAAGCTCTTTTTCAATGCAAAATACCAGCTTTTCAGAAACAAAATGCCGGTATCAATAGACTACCACACGTAACTTTGCTATGTTCTTTCTCTTATATTTTTCTTGCTACTATGTCTATAATTTTCCTTTAATAGGGAAGGCGAAAGGGAAGGATAATGCACCATTGCAAGTAGACAACAGGGAAAAATAATGGGAAGAAATTAATAGTAACGAAGAGGATGATAAAAAACCAAATGCTTATGATTTATGGAAGACTTCTATCTAGGTTTTTAATACTTTAGATTATGATTTACTATTTGATAATACATTGATCTACTGCAAGTTAGACTTTGTAATTCGTATTTCTGTTAAATTGTTATATTATGTTTTATTAAGGATTTTCAAGATGGTTTATGGTTCATTATGAGGATACTTTTGTCTTATAAATTTTTGAATTACTTTATTAGTTTGTGCTAAAGCTTATGCCTTACCTCATGCGAGTAAAAGATCTCAGCATTGTCTGTATCAAACAATTAAGTGGTTTCACATATGATATAATGGTTCTTTCTCCGCTGGTGGGATCCACAATTCTTAACCATACTGTGAATGATGCAATGTAGCACCCAATTCGATAAACCTTGGCATCAACATGATTTTTAAGCAATCAATTTAAAAGCTAATGAGTCTTCTGGGCAATAGGCACATATTTAATGCCATAACCTGTTAAACTGATGCAAAAACTGGCAAGGGTTTCAAATAAAACTAAAATATCAAATGTCAAAGTAGGGACTGAGAAGAAAGCTTGATCTAACACAGGAAATGCTGAATACCTTAATGAGACGCCTAGGTGTCTGAGTTTCAAAGTCAGCACTCGTAAGAATTTGCTCAATTCAATCTCAGTTTATGAAGGAAAATAAAGATAAGAGTTATATTCATCTGAAACCAAACAAGAGGGGGTTGAGCATTATATACCTAGTCCAAAGTTGGTCCATTAGGATTCATAAATGAGGACAAGATGCTGTTGTGAGTGCATAAAAGAGTGAAAGTTCTTCCTAGAATAGTACATTTGGGACGATACCGACAAGTATAGAGACAGGTATGCCACGACTTAAAGGCGTGGTAAGTTATAAATGATGTTCAAACAATCCCAATATAGTTTGCTGCACATATCCACCTAGTTACTGAACAAATGAAGACCAGCATCTTAGGGGAATCAAACTCTCTCTCCATGACATAACTCTTTTGTTCCTACTTGCTTCGAGGATGAGGAAATCAGACTTCGCAATCTGAAGCCCACAGAATTAAAAAGCAGAACTAGTAGTCTTTAATGTTGCCAGATAACAAAAATCTGGACAATTTCAACTCCAACAAAATCCATGTTTAGCTCCAGTTTCTTTTCACCTTGCTCAGCCACAAGCAAAGACTAACTACATTCCCAATATCAAACATACTCGCATTCAGGATTTAGGATAAAAAATAATAGGATTTCCAAGTATTTTAATATCTGCAACCTAAAAGATATGTACTTGAGGTCAGTCAGCACGGCATGGCAATTGAGTTCCATGTTTTCAGAATATATAACAAAGTCTCGTCCACGTAACACCAGAAAACCTTCTTTGGGCCATCAGAACCTAAAGGCTTTCTTAACATCCACACACCTCTAGATAATTCAGCAAGTAGAATACCTTAGTTTCACATTTCAATTGCATCCATCATAGAAATGACCTAGATTTTTCACCATAACCCTATCATTTCACCGCGGAAACTCCAGTTATAGCAAAAATTGTATTGTTACAAATAGATAAATAACACAAAACCTAGCTAATATAAGAAGGAGATTAAAAAAAAGTCATACACATACTGCAATAATAAAAGGAAAAAACTTGAGGACCATACTTTCCAGAATGAAGAATCATCCTCACAAAGCCTACAAGAGGCACAGTGTCCTCCAAAATCTGGTCTTCCCAATCCACCCACGTGTCACCATCGCCACTTTTCTTCTCAGTTTCATAATCCGAATCGTCCTTCGCCGACTCTCCATCACCGTCACCTCCATCAAACGGCGGCGAGACGACTGGCTTCCTCAACATATCCGAAGCATAAGACTGCGAATCCTGCCCGCTCCGAACCACACCGTCATTCGAACCAGTCTTGATTGCGCAACAGATGCACAAGTGAGAGCTATTCAATGGAAAAGTGACTGAGAATGGGGTTAAAAGCAAATTTAACGAGATGGGTTTTCTGTGGATCAAATGAATATTTGGTAAAACCGAGAAAGCAAAAGAAGCCATTTAAATGAACTAAGTAATTTATATAATCATTTTCTTTCGATTTGTTCAGGAATGGGAAGGCAATTGGACAGGAATTGCAGCTATCTTCTTCACTCTAAACTTCGGCAGAGAAGAAGAAGAAGATAAAACACTAATTTAGGACTTTAGACGGCGTTTGTCCAAGACAGTTTGTTTCTGATTCGGAAATCAATTTTCATTTTCAATCACACATTTTTCAATAAAATAATATTTTCCATCACATCAATAATTTTTTCTTCTTTTTCAACCACACATTTCCCATCATATCACTATTCAAAATCAATTCTTCCCCCAAAAATCTCTCCCAAACA